CAGTCATTTTGCATTACAAACGGGAAATTGCAGCCCCAACACCCGAATCGGATGTCAATTTCCTGTTTGTAATACAAAATGACTGAAAAACGGCAAACTTCGCAAGGCTATATTATCCGCATTTTACAACATTTCGCAACGAAACTTTGGAATATTACTAATTTTGTGATGCTCTTTCAAGCTGTGATGAAATTTTTGTCTAGACTTATTTAGATCAAAATTTAGTCTATAATGCAAATGGTCCATTGCAAAACATTTAATTTGTGTAGCGGAGTCTTATGACTTGTACATTTCTACCGAAAACACAAACAAATATTTTGATGCGTTCCACCACAGAAAGCTCCGGCTCTGTTTGTAACCCTCATCTAGCCTTTATGCCAGTTTTCCTTTTTCGTGCGAAACGAATTTTTTATTTGCCTTTGGTCTCTCAACTGGAACTATCTGGAACTAATTGGATAAAGACACAGAAGAAAAATTCGCTTTTCGCGAAAAAATTTGCAAGTGGAAAACCGGCTTTAGGGAAGATGGTGCTCGAAATCGCATCCGCATCAAAGACCGGAAATCGTGAAACAACTCAAACCTGATTGGACAACGAACTAAAGCCTGTTCTAAACGTCGCATTTTACATGCGCTGAATGCATTCAAAACAATGGATAATGAGGCATTTCAGCTGATTATCTATTGTTTTGAATGCATTGGGCACATGTAAAATGCGACGTTTAGAACAGGCCTAAAGCACTCAACGAATAATATATTTGAATATATTTATTAATGCGTTGTCCAATCAGTTTTGACTTGTTTAATTAACGATTTTATTTTATTTTATTTTAGCGCATTAAAATTAGTGATAAATTCAAGTCGTAACTTCAAATAGTAATTTGTTTCAAAACTAAATGGAAATGGCTGAAATCCCCACACCACTTGCAATGTTCATGAAATAAATGCATTAACTCACCTTGCCTTGGCAATATATGTTTGTGGGATCTGTTCTTTCTACTGTTGGTCTTTATCGGGTCATTCCTTCACTTCCAAGTTGCACTCTCTTTGGTTGGATTCTTTTCTCACACCATATCGCTTCCTTTTTAAAATAAAGATTATTTTAATTATCGATAATAGGAAACATTCATTTATTATATGTAAGGTAGGGTCAACCTGATACTCAGGGTTTTCACTTGGTATGATATAACTTACATGCAGATAGAAAAATTAATGGAGGAATTTGATTTAAAAAATTCTACATACAGTGTATAAAAGGTGTACAGTTCTAAAATGTCCACTAAACTAAAAATTCCGCAAAATTTGTGACGATTTTGTGCTAATATGCGTAGCTTGGAGTCTTGTGCAATCACCATCATAAAATTATTCTGAAAAGCAAGTTTTCGAGTACAGCAGCTAGGGCTGTTTTTTAAAACCACTTTGAAAATGACTTGCACGCAAATATGGAAGGTTTGAAACGGAATTTCAATTCATAAAAGCACATTTTCCGGAAGGTTTTTGTGTTCAAAAAAGTACCATACAATTTGATGTACATTACGACCTATACGCGCGTCCTCTAAGACTTTTTGCCAAAATAGCTTTTCACACATAATTTATCACACGCATGGATGATTGTATACATGATTATAAAACACCTTCTAAATTTGCGCCCTATAAATTTAAATTGCGTTTCAAATCTACCATTTTTGTGAGCAACCTATTTTTTGAACATTTTACCCCCAAATATCATACCCCCAAACTACCCATACTAACATAAAGTTGTCAATAATGTTGCGGAAGTTTCAGTTTGGTGGACATTTTTTCTATTCTATCAGTGAACTTTCTGTACCAATGTTGGTACATATAAAAGTTTTGTTTGTGGAAACACCACGTAAATTTATTACTGTTTGGTGTTTCCACAAACAAAACTATTATATGTTTTATCGCCATGCAAAATTACAAAGAACATATAATGTAGGTACAGTAGGGATGCAACAACCTGAAAATATAACGAGAATTTCGACGTTTTGAGCGAAGGCCCTTTGTTTGAACTACTCTGGAGTTATTAGCTAATAACTCCAGACGACGAGCCTTTGCTCGAAACATCGAAATTGTCTTTATATTTTTCAGGTAGTCGCATCCCTACCAATGAAACCTTGTTATTTACTTTTTATATACACTGCACTAGGAAACAGTTAACATTATGTAATAAATGCTATAATATACGTAAAAGGGTGTGGCCTATCGCAAATAATTAAAAGCACAAATAGGAAGGTAAAAGGGGTGTGGCAATTACAGTGAGTACTGAGTCTAATACGTATTATGTTATTTCCAGCATAAATTACATTAAAAAACTTACGTTTACTATAATATTTCTAATTTCTTCTTTGCATTGTTGTTGCTTTTGTTGGTCACGGTTCGTCATTCTGTCGATGGTTCCATGATGGTTGGCACGTATACATCTTGGGATATCACAACATGTCCGAGTACAAGTAACGAGTAACGAGTACATTCAATATCACGTAAACCACCATAAAACGAGAACATATTATTAATTCACGTTACAAAACACTGACTGTTATTTTACTAATTGCAATTAGATTGTTAATGAGCAATGTAAATTACATAAAACTAAATGGAAATCTAGTTGATATATTGTGAATAATATAATATCGACAAACCGTACATTTGCGATACTTTTTGATCTTCGCGGCTTCTGTGGGCACGAGTCTTAGTTGATTTCTTAGGTCCATGCCATCTGTCACCCTAAGGTCTGCTTTGTATCCAGTTTTCTTCACATCCTTTGAGAAAAAGCAATGAAAATTTTAGAAAAACCTTTACACTAGAATTTTCACAATCGAAAAGCTCGCTGTTCAGCAGCAGCAGTTACGAGCAGCGAGCTTATGAATAGTTGGCTTTTTCAAAACGTGGCATTTTGCGCGCTCATATTGCTGTAAACTACTAGTTGAATTAAACGCACGAAAATGTTAATAATTTACGGAGTGCCTGTTGTTTTATTTTTATTTTAAGAATAACAGAATGCTGCATGTTAAAGGAAGTATATAAGGCCAATAATTATTTTAATATTTACTTGTATTTTCTAAAATTTATTTTTCTCACCATTTCCAATGATCTTGAAGGCACTATCCGTGTCCTTTACTTCGAGTGTGGCTTTTCATATCAACGTTTAATGTTTTTTTGGGGGGGGTCTGTAATATAATGCAAAATGTTAGATACTAGGTAATAGAACTACCTATCTCTATGCATCCCTAACAAGCTGTTGCTCCAAGAAAATTGATACATCTAAATTGAATGTAGCACAATAAAATAAAAACCTGTTCTATCCAATAGAGGATTCTTTAAATTCTGCAGTAAATTAAACCAGAGAAATAAAAATTAATATACCTGGTTTCATCTTGTATGGTTGCTCCACAGTCTTGCTGCTGAAGAAAAAAAATTGTCAAATAGGAAAAAAGATAAAAAGCGTGGGGGGGGGGGGGCGGACGCTAAAGCAATATCTATTGCTACAGGGGGAAATGTTCCTACTTTGCGGTCAATATTTTTTAAGATTATGTCCAAACCATTTATGGTTTTGACTTACCAATAATTATTAATTAACATTTATAGTCTTAGGGTACAGCCGTCCGCAAATGTTCACTGCTGAAGAAAGCTCATTACTTATGATCAGGTAGAAATTTTTACTAAAATAATATTAATTTTTGTAAAAAAAATATTCTACTTTTCCATACTTAAAAAGTTGTAGGAAAACTTACATATGTAATAAATATCCTATATTGTTGATATCCAACCCAACCAAAGTGACTTTCAATGCATTTTCAGATTGGAGAAGAAGGCGACGCCATCTTGGTTTGGAATTCCTTCGACCTGGCCGAATTGGTCTTCGCAATTTTACCGCCATTTCTTCGTCATTTTCTTCAAAATGTCTTCCAAACGTCTCTCTCACACGTTCCTCGACATTACTATGGTATTTGATTGGTATTTATACTCGTTCCTTGGCAGAAAATCAATGCTTGTGGTTCATTAATTTTTGGTCGAGAAGCGCAGAAGCCGAAGGTCCTTCTTCTTCGAAGTGCAGGGGCAAATGACGTCAGAATACGATTGTTCACTGGTAAATACCCGTATGTATAATGTCTAATATTTTAAATACGAAGCTTTAAAGTTTAATTCTAGCTGAAATGGATGGTTTTTAGCCCTAAAATTGAGCTCAGATATTCCTTATATTTCTTTCCTTTATGATTTAATTTTTATTTCGCTCAAAAACACTCCTGAGGAGCGTTTAACCGTGTTTTTTTTTTATTTGCATGCTAACGAGTGCGGAAAGACAAGTCCGATTTGTCGGTTGAGTTTAACTTTTCCTCCGTGGCCGAATGGTAACGGCAACTGTATTGGGAAAAGCCACGCCCTTTGGTGTTTGCTGTGGATCGTCCCTCGCTTGCGACAACACAGGGACGAACCTAAAGGGTGTGAGTGACTCTCGAAAACAGTTGCCGGTACCGATAGGCTACTGAAGGAACGTTTAAACCTGCAGTAAATTTCTTCTACTTAATCATTTACCTTATGCTTGCCAGCCGGGGACCTGCATTTCGGGGGCCACCCAAAACAACAACCTGCCGTGCAAGAAGGGCAATACAATTGCAGTGTAAGACTACAACTGTACTGTCCTTCGTGCACGACAGCGAGTCGTTTTGGGCTAAACGACTAGATTTGTAGGACAAATCTAGTCGTTTTCCAAAAAACGACTAGATTTGTCGTACTATATAGGGCCGATTTCGTTGCAATGATTGTGGTGCACTATATTTTCTTGCTTCTGCGCAGTCGTATCTTCTTGAATAAAGTTGTATATGGTACTCAAAATTTGTCCTTGAAAGGACCATGTATTCTTGCGTGGTTCCGGGTTAGACTCCCAGAGCATTTTATGTACTTATATACAACTTTCTTAGCGCAACTCCATGCAAGCTATGGAGAAGCTTATGATGTAACTTATCATGGCCGACATACCAATGACAGTAGTTTTATATAGTAGATGAAATGTATAATAAACCGCAAGGTTTGTTACTGTTACTGTACCAGGAATTGACCGAATACTGTTGTAATCACCCAGTCACAACAACGTAAAAGTTATGACATTATCAACTGTGTCCTCGATAGGAGTCATTTATGAGGCATTCAGTTTAAGATTCCCAGAGCATTTTATGTCCATATCACAGCTACAATAGTGCAACTCCATGTATACCATTTCGCAACTTACGATACAACTTATTACGCGAACCATAAACTAATAATTGGGAACGATGTGCGAATAAAGCTACAAGGTTTAATCTTTGGATAGGAGGATAAGATAATAATATTCCGGAGCATGTTTCATGTGATATTTAACCGTGGCAAATTACAATACTTGAGTTTTCGAGCGTGTATAACATAGTCTTTAAAAGTAAGGTAAGGCTAATCTATACAAGCACAATTAAATTTCAATATGAACACTCATAGTTCAACTCCATGTATACCATTTCGCAACTTACGATACAACTTATTACGGATCGACGATAAACTAATAATTGAGAACGAAGTGTGAATGAAGCTATACAAGGTCTAATCTTTGGGTAGAAGGATAAGATAGTAATCCGGAGCATGTTTTGTGTTATATTTAACCGGCCCAAATTACAATATTTGAGTTTTCGACCATGGAGAATTTGTATAAAAGTAAAGTTGCATGCTAAATTTCAAGCTGAAAACTCGTTTTACTCCAGATGCTTATAAACTCAAATGTCTCATAAAATCTTTTGATACACGTTACACCGTAGTTTACTGCATGTATAATATAGTCCTTAAATTAAAGTAAAGCGATACTATATAGGTATAGTTAAATTTCAATACGAACACTCATTTTACTCGAAGCGTTAACTAAACGCCTCGAGTAAAATGAGTGTTCATATTGAAATTTAACTACACCTATCTATAGTATAGACTATATTATACATGCTCGAAAATTAACTCATGCAAGTATTGTAATTTGCGCCGGTTAAATATCACAAGAAATATGCTCACAAATTATTATCTTATCCTGCTATCCAAACATTAAACCTTGTAGCTTCATTCGATCACACTTCGTTCTCAATTATTAGTTCATCGTCCGTAATAAGTTGTATCGTAAGTTGCAAAATGGTACGGACATGCTCTGGGAATCTTAAACCGAATGCCTCATAAATTACTTCCATGGAGGACACTGTTGATAATGTCATTTAAAGCTTCGTTGCATGTGGATCGAAGAAACAGCTACAGCCATAACTTTTACGTTGTTGTGACTGGGTGATTACAACATTTCATCTTCTATATAGAACTACTGACAGTACTGTCATTGGTATGTCGGCCATGATAACTTACATCATAAGTTTCTCCATAGCTTGCATGGAGTTGCGCTAAGAAAGTTGTATATATGAACATAAAATGCTTTGGGAATCAAACCCGAAACCACGTATGGTCTTTTCAAAGGCATTTTTTTAGTAATATACAGCTTTATTGAACAAGAAACGACTGCGCAGAATCATGACAAAATAGTGCACCACAATCATTGCGACGAAGTCGGCCCTATATAGTTGGACAAATCTAGACGTCTTTTGGAAGACGTCTAGATTTGTCTTACAAATCTAGCCGTTTAGCCCAAAACGACTCGCTGTCGTGCACGAAGGACAGTACAGTTGTAGTGTTACACTGTAATTGTATTGCCCTTCCTGCACGGCAGCTTGCTGTTTTGGGTGGTCCCCGAAATGCAGGTCCCCGACTGGCAGTATTAAGGTAAATGATTAAGTAGAAGAAATTTACCGAAGGTTTAAACGTTCCTTCGGTAGCCTATCGGTACCGGCAACTGTTTTCGAGAGTCACTCACACCCTTTGGGTTCGTCCCTGAGTTGTCGCAAGCTAGGGACGATCCCACAGCAAACACCAAAGGGCGTGGCTTTTCCCAATACAGTTGCCGTTACCATTCGGCCACGGAGGAAAAGTTAAACTCAACCGACAAATCGGACTTGTCTTTCCGCACTCGTTAGCATGCAAATAAAAAAAACACGGTAAACGCTCCTCAGGAGTGTTTTTTGAGCGAAATAAAAATTAAATCATAAAGGAAAGAAATATAAGGAATATCTGAGCTCAATTTTAGGGCTAAAAACCATCCATTTCAGCTAGAATTAAACTTTAAAGCTTCGTATTTAAAATATTAGACATTATACATACGGGTATTTACCAGTGAACAATCGTATTCTGACGTCATTTGCCCCTGCACTTCGAAGAAGAAGGACCTTCGGCTTCTGCGCTTCTCGACCAAAAATTAATGAACCACAAGCATTGATTTTCTGCCAAGGAACGAGTATAAATACCAATCAAATACCATAGTAGTGTCGAGGAACGTGTGAGAGAGACGTTTGGAAGACATTTTGAAGAAAATGACGAAGAAATGGCGGTAAAATTGCGAAGACCAATTCGGCCAGGTCGAAGGAATTCCAAACCAAGATGGCGTCGCCTTCTTCTCCAATCTGAAAATGCATTGAAAGTCACTTTAGTTGGGTTGGATATCAACAATATAGGATATTTATTACACATGTAAGTTTTCCTACAACTTTTTAAGTATGGAAAAGTACAATATTTTATTTACAAAAATTTATATTATTTTAGTAAAAATTTCTACCTGATCATTAATAATAAAGAGTTATATACTCCAAGACAAAGACAAGTTCATTACATGTTATTGTTAATACGTCAAAACCAATCATCTTGACATCATCTTAAAATGTCGACCTCAACAGTCGAAAAAAACTGGTATAAAAACTGACAAAGAAGCCCCCCCCCCCTGTATAATCCTCACGTTTTCTCTTGTTGTATATTTGTACAAAGTTTATTAGGCCTAAAAGTATTGACAATTTTTTTTTCTAGAAAGACTGCGAAAGAAATTACAAAACCAAACCATGAAGTCTAGAAAAATAATTACGTGAACCGTTTCTGGTACGTTCTGTATATAATTGTTATCTAAAAATCCATGTGTATTTTAAAAATCCATATGTATTTTAGCTTTACAATTGGTTCAGGCTTTCAAAAACATTTTATTCTATATATAATTGTAAAATTAATATATTTATGACAATTATATTATTACTTTTTCTATAGCAAGATCGTCAAAGAACCGTAGAAAATGACACCAATATATGATGACAGAAAAGATCAAAGGAAAATGTCGCTCAGGTATATATATATTTACTAATTTTCATCTATATATATTTTCGGCTTTTCAATGGATGGTTCCAGTTATCGACTAATTTTGTATCTAGACCAGAATCTTTCATCTTTCATTATATAGCTCAAAAGAGCATCCTAAAATTAATAAAATTGCAAAGTTTCGTTGCGAAATGTTGTAAAATACAAAAAATATAGCCCCGTGAATTGGAAAATTAGCAAATTTTGAGTATTTTAGTAGTACGCAAGGAAAATGCATGTACCACTTTCGCCTGAAAGACAGAAGTGGTCAAAATTTGCTAATTTCTCAGGGCCATATTTTGCAACATATTGCAACCCAATTCGGCAATTTGACTAATTTAAGGATGTTCTTTTAAGATATAATGATGGATTTCATCCTTCTTGTCTGGATCAAAATTTAGTCTATATAGCTAGAATCATCCAGTTCGTCGGAATGATTGTTAAATAATTGACTAAAATATTCAATTTTTTAATTAAAACTACGCTGCTAAGGACGTATTTTATAAATATAATAAATGTCTATAGATAACAACGCAATTCTGCAGTTCTGTTTGTTGCGAGGGGGACATTCCTCACTGCATGATAATGAGTAAAGAAAATCAAAACAAGGCAAGAAAATCAGTCAAAACATATATCGCTATAAATTCCTACCTGAGGACCAAGTGTTGCATTTTTCACAACCATTATGTACATCGCTGTATACCTTAAAAATAAGAACTTTTAGTATTTTATGCACAAATGAACATAACAAATCCTACATGGTGATTGGTCAAATTTGACGTATTAATCTGTTATATTCACCTATACATGAGGTGAATATAACAAAACCGAAATTTTTAAAATGGCCGCTAGCCGTTTTGTTGAAGTTGGTGATAAAGAAATAAGCGAAATTAAAATGAATTCAGACCAGAAAAACACAGAAAAACTTGTACAAAAATACTAAAACAATTATTCACCTCAGGCTCGGTGATTATCGGGGAATATTCACCTCGACTTCGTCTCGGCAAATATTCCCCGATAATCACCTCGCCCTCGGCGAATAATTGTTAAATATAATTATATAGATTCAAGTTATAATAAATCATAACTTGAATCTGACTATGATAGGCCTAGGTGTAAATTCTTTGAGGTTTGCATGGCGATAAAACATATAATACTTTTTGTTTGTGGAAACACCATGTAAATTTATTATAACAGTAATAAATTTATTACTACAGTAATACAGTAATAAATTTATTACTACAGTAATAAATTTATGTGGTGTTAGGTGTTGCTACATTTACGTGGTGTTAGGTGTTGCTACGTTATATGATAGGTGTTGCTACATTTTTACAATTTTTTTCCAAAAAGTTCCTGACACAAAAGAAATATGATACATTGTATGCCTGGAACTCGCTACAAAAAAGTGTTTCATACGACAAGTGCACCATTTCCAATTCATTGATCGTCATGTTTTGACAAAAAATTGAAAGAATGTAGTAAACTATCATAGATCCAAGTTTTATTATTTTAGCGTCAAGGCCTGTTTTCACTTGCAATTTTTGCTGCGATTTTTTTTTGTTTTGATGGATGTGTGGGAACATATACATGCATCAGGATAAATAAATTGCACTAGAAACGCCTTTGCCATTTAGAAATAAATGCAACTCATTATTATCCACTGAGTGACGTCGCCCATTGCAGGCAACCAGAACGGTAGAATTGCATTGTTACTGAAATTATCTAGACGTACATTCATTTTTATATTTTTGCCATATTTAATAATGGCAGGCACGGTTTTGCTAAAAATTGAATATTTTGTCAAATACTTAACGTCCCTTACTTGCATAATTAAAGAATTATAGTTTTTAATTAGCCGGCAATAGTTTTGGCCTGTGTTCCACTCAAATTTGCCAATGACCAATGGAGAAAGCATCAAAACCTAGGTTGCTGTACGAATTTGTATATTTCACTCACGATTAGAATATGAAGATTTTTTCTAAAATCAATAATCTGGGTTTTTTAGTAGGGTGTTAGTAATGTTGGGGGCCATGTCTGTATCTCTACCTCCTCCGATATTCCACCCATATATATATTAAAACGGTTTGATATTGCTTAAGATTTTCCTAAAATTTTCATCGTTTATTTTCCCAAAGGATGTAATATCGAGGAAACTGGATGCGCCATTCAAGGACAGAGAACAAAGGGACAAGCATACCATAGAGCGATATGTGACGACCCGTGCCCAACAGAAACTGTGACGATGCCAAGATACAGAGGTACGGTTTGTCGATGTTATTTATGTTAAGGCGTAAAAAAATACCTGTGGTTCCGGTTTCATATCGTGAAAAAATTAGGGTCGGTAGGTCGGAAATAATTTTTTTTTAAATATTTTTTTCATGGTTTTGGCGGTTTTTTGCTGGGCGATTTGCAGTAGAGTCCCGACATCAATATTAACTAGAGATGCGTATTTCCTATGGACGAATTTAGGCAATTTGGTTCAATAATTAGTGTGACAACAGACGCCATTTTGGCACGCTGTACGAGCAGTCCGCAACCACCTGGAGAAAATAGGGTCGCACGGTCATAATAGGGTCGGCAGAAAAAAATAGGGTCGGTCGGGAACCGGAACCACAGGTTTTTTTTTACGCCTTATTCACAATCGATCAGTTGCAATAAAATTGCAGCTTTTAATTGCAAATATATTTTAACTAAATTCTACTCATTTGTAATTAAAATTAAATTCATCATTTATCTTTCTTATGCAAGTTGTTTTTTAACGTGAATTAATCACTTTTTCCTCCTTATTTTATGATGGTTTACGTGACATTCAGTGCGCTTGTTACCCACTGGATGGAGTTGTTGTGATGTCCCATGAAAAGAGTGCCGACCGTGATGGAACCACCAACAGAATGACGAACCGCGACCAACACAAGCAACAATGCAAAGATATATAGTAAATGTACGTTTTGCTGATGTAATTTATGATGGAATAACGTAATAAATATTTTACTCATTACTCACTTTAATTGCCATATCCATTTTTCCTTCTCAGTTGTACGTTTAATCATTTGAGATTGGCCACACCCTTTTATGACCTGTGCAATATTTTTAAAATTAATATGAATTTTAGCATTTAATATTATTGTGCATCTAAGTCCTACCCTTATTTAATATTCTATTAAAACTGAAGGGGGAGAGGAACTTTTTCTTTCCTAAATGTTTAAAATTGAACCCCCCCCAAAGCAGAAATTAAATAATAATAACCCTATATTATAACATTGTCTCTTTGAGCCAGACTTATTTCACATCAGTGACCATGACTAACGCCTGTACTCTAAAAGCTCACTCCACTCACGCTCAATGAGTGGAAGTTCAATATGAGCTTCTGTCAAGTGTCATTGCTGTTTGAATAGCTGGAGGGTTGGTATCGTACCTTACTATATGTGACTACTCACCTTCCAGCTCTTCAGAAACAGAATTAACACTCAAGAGAAGCTCAGATTGAACCTTCACTTATCGAGTATGAGTGAGCTTTTAGAATACAGCCGTTATAGTCACGACATTAAACCAAATGGAGACCAGGCTTAAGCAATTTGCTTCAAATTTAATTGCAACCCTACGCATGTGAAAAAGCCGTATATCTGTTAAAATGATAAACAACTATTGAATGTCGAGTAAGATATGAGGAATTTGATTAAAGCCGAGTTTTGTCGACCTCAACTCTACCTCATTGAATAATTGTTTTATTATTTATTATTTATTTGTGGGAATACACAAAAAAGGTCGGCGAACTTTCCCTTTGAGGAAGCCATTCGTATTTTCCTGCTTTTGGCATAAGCCACATTAATTAGCCTGACGTCATAGCGTGTTACATTGTTTTTCAATATACCACGAAATTACGTCAAACGTGGTATATTTGTTTTTAATATTCCACGGTGATGTCATAACTCCATATTTGGGCAGCTACCGAGCGGACATGGCTACGATTTCCGGAATTCACCGACAGCTCTTAGCCAATCAAAACTCCTGAATTATTTCCAATAAATAATAATTAATCCTGTCTATTTAACCGTTAATAATCCTGCCAAATATAATTCATAATTTTAAGATGATTCATATATGAAGTATTCGCGTACAATACAAGTGTTTCTTTTGTGCAACTTTCTTATTTTATAGTTAACTAATGAATAATTCATTGCAATCATGATCTGATAGATAGTTTTTTAATTTAAATAGGTCCATGTGATGTGATAAGAAAAGTCAACGATCCAAGCTAGTGGAGGTCAAGAAGGAAGACCGGAATGAGAGACTTACGGATGATATGAACCCAAGAAAAGAATGACAATTCGCAACAACCAGAACCCACAAATTGCTAATATGAAACTACTATTGTGAAAATTTTACAAATGTAAGTTAAAAGGCAAGATACTTATTCGGAAATCAAAGAGGATATACCGAATACGATTGTTTCTCATTGAAAAAGAAACAGTGAACAAATTGGCAAAATTAATATAAAATCAATATGCATGTTTTTTAAATACCTTTGAAAATTAAATAAAACTTCCTATTAGTTTGGCATCCGGCCTTTAGTATCCGGCCTGCATGCAGGAGCCAGAAGTACAGTCTGGTATGGAAGAAAACATTTTATTGCGAAAACAGCAAAAGCTACCGACAATTTTTCAAAATTTGAAGGAAAGAATTAAATTCTAAATTATTTTGAAGTATTGAAAGAAAATAAACATCGATTAGAAGTTTCACAAAAATATTTTTCAGTAATGCTTAGCGTCTCTTTTACCATCTTCAGTGTTATATTTGCCATGTTTATATATTCTGTCCATTTATGGGTGATGAAGTCTTGTATTCACAATGAAATCAGCATACGATGAAAACAAGCAAACAATTAAAAGAATGATATCAAGCATGAAAAACAATAGAAATTGAGGACTTTTTTCGTATGTTAATTCCAATGGGAATATACCGATATGTTGATTTCATACAAGTGTGAAAAACACCAGAAATAGAGTGACCTATATTTGGTATTTTTAATTCCCATGGGAATATTACTATGCATTGTTTCCATAGCGAAAACCTGACTTTATTTCATTGATTTCATAGCGAAAACCTGACTTTATAATGATCGAATCTTCTTTGATTAAAAATTATAAGTATCTTGTTCCTTTCGGGTTTGTTTCAGTAAGCAGGAACAATGGAACAAGAACAATTGGGCCATTGTTTGTGCCCACTAAAGCAAATTACGGAAGACGGAAGTGGTTTGAGAGCAGCTGCGACGTGCCATGCAAATGATTAAGACGTTCGGGTTAAATGAGTACGAGATTGCGGTTAAGTTTTTCAATGTTTCGACCTGTTTGCACTATATATATATAGATGAACTGTGCTATATGGTCATTAAAACATGTTATTTTACGTTTGGATTTGAACTCCTGTAGCCCAAAGATAAAGACGGATAAGTCTTCTTTCTTTCGAAACAACAGTAGTTTCGCAATTGATAATATAATAAGTTTTATGTTTAAAAAAAATTAATTAACAACTCCGCACATTCTCATGCTTATTTAACCGAGCATTTTGGTTTCGGTATAAGTTTAATAAGGTTTGTATTCATTCCGGACCAGTTAACAAAACTAAAGCCCATGCCCTTTTAGTTAAGGTTTTCCATTTCGAACCAGAAACCAAAACTCAGTCTAAGCGGGTTATAGGATAGCTAGTGATAACGTAATTAATCTTTTTATTTTGCTTTTTTGTTTATAACGTAATTTAATAGCTAAATGTATGGAGTGCGAGAGTGTGCGCCGTGTGAATAGGATGCATGGGGTTAGGCTAAACTAAGCGGTATAAAGGAATTAAAATTTTGAGAGCGTATTTATTAAAGAGAAAATATATCATCTTTTCTGAACAAAAGGACTAATTTTTCTTAACATCAGCAAAATTTGTCGAGTTTCGTTATAAAATATTTAGAAGAAAACTAAAATCGTTGTAAAATAATTAGAAGAAAAAATACGGGCTTCGTATGTTTTTCTATGTAAATTTCATGTATATATGAGGCAAGTGAGCAACTCACCTTATTTGTACACGCGGTCTTTCGCAATCGTCAACCTTTCATTTATTTGTTTACGTTTGGCCTAAAATATCCGAATTAATTAATTAATTATGTATACTTTACCAAAATTTTAATTCCTTCAGTTTTTGAAGAGCGGGCAGTTCGGGCTGGTGGCGGGTTGGGCAGTTGTGAGTGTCTGTGTGATGGTGAGGAAAGCGGAAGTTACGAATGGAATGCAGGTAGCTTAGGACCGAGGCAGACAGTTTAGGATTGAGGCAGGTAGGCAGTTGGTAGGAATCAGTGGGGGGCACTTGTCATTTTCGGCCATGGGATTCAAATTTGCATGCTAATTATTTGTTACTAACGTTTGTTGTTTTACGTATTTGCCAGGTATGCGCGTGGCTGCTCTCAAGAGAAGATCAACTTGGCAATTTGCATTAGCATTTGCAAGTTTGGTCTTCTCTTCGCCCCGCTACCCCGGCTGGCTCTCCGAGTGCTATCTCTACTTTAAGCAGAAGTACTTTTAAGTAGAGTGCTTCTGCTTGAAGTAGAGGTAGTACTTGGGGAGCCGGCCGGGGTGGAGGGATTTTTTTAATTTTTTTTTTCAATTCCCATGGGAATTGAATTTTTAATTAAAAAGGAGTCTCTTGTATAATTAATGAACAATTTATTGAAAAAAATTTGTAATTTTACAATTTGAATAACAATAAAAAGAGAACAACCACTGCATACTGTACTTATTTAAATAACAATAGAAGAAAACAGAACATGGCACAAGGAGAACAATTAACATTGTGTTCAACACAAGTGAATAAACACAACATTGAAACGTTAACGCTCGAGGAAATAAGAGAACTTGGTCTTTTCAAGATATTTGTTTATACTTCAAATTAAACAATTGTGAAACAACTGTAAGTGATCAATTGAAATCCAAAGTAGAAAACGGAGTTGTTTCACAATTACAGAGAAAATATATGGCTGATATAATAAAATAATTTGAACAGATTTTTTGTATACGCACTAAGTGCCTTTGGTAAAATGACTGTTGATTTCACTGGAGTATGGAAAGAAATAATTTTATCATGTTATTTGATGCTTAAAGAGATTAGTCGGCACAACAACATTGACAATAAATTCCATGACTTGAATTAGCAATTGCCAGATTGCAGAAAATCAATCATATTTATACTGATGCCTTGATATTTTGGCAAGATTTTTTCATGACCTTAAATTATTATTTCCATACTCAATTGAATATCTTAATGAAAAATAATTCCGTTTTTGTGAAATAAGAAAAGATCTCATGAAAATTAATTCAGTTTTTGTCAAATAGGAAAGTTTTATAAAGAATTTAAATTAAGTCTCTTGAAGCCATATATCTCTCTCATTTTATTTTTAACCTGACAACACTGAATTGATTAGATATAATATTAATTTTCACGTGATGAAAATGCTGCTAAACAGATTATCTACAAACGTTTTGTATTCATTTTTCGAATATTATTTCAATTTGCATCAACCAAACACAAAGGTATGACATTTCTGTTCATTTGCATGGTAATTGCATACGTCTTCAACATGTAGACAAAAAAAGTTGTTTCACATTTTATATGCGAGAAACTGCAGGAAATATTTTGAACCAAACCTAAAGTGAGTGAGCATCTATCCAAAAATTATGGTTGAATTTCTATCTAATATTTTTTTAAAAAACAGTCAAAGAGCAAACTTTTTATTTGGAAAGACCTTATTTCTCCATCAGTCAAAACTTTTAAATTTTTCCTTATAGCAGGCAAAGGGCAAACTTTTGATTTGCAAACAACTGAATATATGAACTCTTAAAAACCATAGGCTAGGTGTTTGGTAAATGACTGGCAGAAAGTGGGAGGATAGTTATATACTTATCCACCCCACCAAAAATCGTGAGGGCTGCCCCAAATCTTCCTCATGGTCCAGATTTATAGAAACCAATTCCCATACAATCCTTATAATCTCTCTCAATGAAAAAATATTATATTGCACTTTCATCAATTTGTAGTATCTATATTAAAACAAGCCAAACACAAACATGAAAACCAATTAAAACACATGAAATGTTTTTTGTAGAGTGAAAAGTTCAATAAAATGATTGAATTTTGGTCAGTTTTGAATGGTAGTGTTGTCAGGTTAAAAACAGATCTTATTGAAGTATAAATTTACCTTTACTTACTTGTTGAAAAGACCATATTCAAATGCCATATAAACCTGTTTTCTTATATTGTTATTATGACTATTATATTACTACACTGTTACAAGGTGGAACCTTTTTGAAAGTAATGTTGAACTGAAGCAATTAATGTAAGTAACATATTAACAAATTAATTTTAATTGCAAAACGATTATTAACTGCAATGATCCAATAAAAAATATTCCAAAGAATAGTAACTTCAAAAATCAAAAAGCAATAAAGCAATTAAATAAAGGTCTGAAACTAATTCATTCAGTCTAAATCCAAAGATTCATAAAATGAAACATGAAAAATATACCAAACAATTTTTGAATTCAGTAAAAATGTAATTACGGTTCATGACATCTATAATATATTGTTAAATTATTAAAACTGTAGAACCTATATTGACAATTCAATCCCATCAAGGTGGTTCAACTGTGATTCAAATCTGAGTCAGATTCTGTATGGATTTTGTACATGCTAACACAAAAACTGCAATCTTACTTTTACCTAAGCATGATGGAGCAATCACTGAAATTAACAAATGTGTACTTTCCTATTATTGATTTTCTTTATTGCTTGTTCTTCTTTTGATTTTTTTTTTTGCTTATTAGTATGACTGAAAGTGCTGTGCTGAGTGGTTTTATTACTACCTTAAAAAACAAACAGAAACTCGACGTTTTGAGCGAAGGCCCTTCGTCAAGAGTTGGTAGCAGGGATCTGGTACTACCTACACTGGTACAGACAGTTTTAGTATATATGACTGAAAGTACTAATTTACGAAATCTACTAACATGTATGTAACCAATATTTTCACCAAACAATTATATACTTTTGAATATTTTCACTGTTTTTTCTTTTTTTCCCAAAAAACATCATTTTGTTGTCTGATTGTGGTGTACTTCACTATGTGCATGTGCATGTACATGTGCCAATCAATTTTATTGTTTTATCATCGCACACTACCCCAAAATTGAGTTAAGTTTTGGTGCTTCAATTCATCTGTCCTCAAACAAGTTCCACTTTGTAATGAAGTGAAGACAATATACGCTAGCTAATTCTGACTTCAACTGCTTGTTTTAAAGTTGGAAGTTATAATTTAAAATCACAAAGTTTATTCCAAAGTTCAAACATGTTCTTCAAAACCACACATTCATTTGGCACCAGAATCACGAGTCAATGAAAGCATTAGCCATTACAAGCAAGTTCAACTAATCAATTAAGAATTGTCGGGTAAATAAATTTATTAAGCTCTAAAAGTTCTAAAAGTGCCAACTGTTGGGGTATTTTTTAACTGATCCCAGATTGCTTGTTTCAAGATTCAATATTAAAAACCTCCAATAATATGTAGAACAGACTTTGTGATTTTCATATGAACTTTTCATACTTTCAAACAAACAATGAAGGTCAACTTGAACAAGAGAAGATTGAGATGGGAAATCAGGAACCCAAGTTATAAACCTGTTTTCACAATTCATTTTGAAAGATAAGTTGTTCAAAGCCAAATTACTTTGAAACATTATAATGTTGATCAGTGTTCTTTTCTGTAATAAAACAAACATGCAACTAAAATTAAATGATCTTGAATTAAAATTCTTGTGTCTTAATATCTGTAACAAAAATTGTTTCATACTGTAGATCTTCTTAAAAATCATCTCAATCTTCTCGATGTCTCCTGCACATCACAAAGCCAAATTATGACAAACTGTATTGTTTTGACTTTTGTCATAAATTATGATAGCTACATGCAAAAACTTTGTGATATAAAAACAACTATATGTCCTCACATAGGACACATGTGAACAAAATTGATTTAGAAGATTTTAAGAAGTAGCTAGTATGCCAAACATGAAAAATGTACAGTATGTCCAAAATGATTCACATAAGATGGAACATATTAACGTTTCAAGACACAAACATGAAACAGTTTATCATTCTTTTGGCTTGATCTCAAAATAAATGCTTTGAAAATTGACAACTTCCTGTGATTGGTGGAAACTGGGAGCATGATTTTTTTAAATTATATTTTTGTTGTTGTTTTCTGACTTAATAAACACTTATCACAAACAATTATAATTTTCAAAGCATTTCATACGTAAAATAAGGCATGAAAATAGACCTTTTGATATACTTTCCAATGACAGTGTCCATTCTTTGTGAAGTAGAAAACTTCAGCCAACAGCTTGGGACATTCTTGGAACTTGCAACACATACAGTATCTAGAAAATGTTAAAAATTGATTATTGAGGAAATGAAATAAATTAGATTAAACAGAAAAATGCTAAAGATATACAGGTTAATACAAATAAAAAGGAAAAAGTCAATACCTTTCATTTGCGACTTTGGAAAGAGTTCATAGTCGACAAATCTTCACTTGGAACATCCTGGGAACTTGCAATGTAAATCTACAAAAAATATAATTTATTTAATCTATAAAGAATATAATTTAATTAATGTTATCGAGCGGGCCTTTATTTGACCTTTTGAGCCATTTGAGGTTGCGAATAACTGAACTTGTCTAAAAAAACTTAGATTTCCTCTGTAGGGGAGTGTGGATCTATTGCGACTCCACATCTTTCTTTATTCGGTAATTAATTTCAGAAAACGTAGATTTAATAAAAAAAATTGCTCAAGACTCGAGTGACCGCAAGAGCGCGACGTACAGGGTTGGCCGCAGAAGTCAACTAGATCCTCGCACGAGCTGAAAAGTTTTATTTTTTTTATAACAATTTAACAATTTTTTATTTAACTTTTTTAATTCGGTTAGTCGAAAGTATTTTCAGTAAATTCCCACTATAAAATCACGGTTTTATTTCGACAATCGAACCTAACGAACCATGTGAAAAAGTTGACAAATTTTATGCCGAAATATCGCACTAAAATCGTGCTCGATCTCACAAATATTAATCTATATTAGCCAAGTAAGTGCTCTACTACAAGTATTAACATTAAATATAGCATATTACCTTCAAATTACGGCAGGATTGATGGATAAAAGTTGTAAATCAAACATACATTTCTTCTTCGCCATTGCAAACCAAATGGAGAATGGATTCGGAAATCGTCGCTACTCCGTCGGAAACCCGAATTCGTACGATTTCAGTCGACAAATTCCGAGCGTTTAAAATAAGCCCGGGAAAGCCCAGAGAATCGGGGAATTAGGGTAGAAGGTTCTTCCAAGGAATATATTAGAGTGCAGGGAGAAACTGGGAAGTGGGGAACAGGGAAGTTGCAAAACAGTGTGTGGGTGAAATAATGAACCCTAAAAATGGATAATTAGGGTAGCAGAGGGAGAATAACAAGAAAAATCAAAGAAAATTGAATTGAAAATTTCAGTTTTTCTCTTCTCAGGAGAAATTTTAATAAGACGTAAAGACGATACATGTTTATACGCATGTAAGACGGCGACGTGAGACCTGCAGCTAAACTAGCTTGCCTTCTATTTACATTCGTTTCAATTTAATACAGTGTTGAAAAATTAAAACAGACTTTACAAATTCACCCTTGCTAATCTGTGCTAGAAAAACTACCTATCACGGCTCGATATGCTAGCGTACTACACGAGACGTGAAAATACGTATTTTGCCGTTGTCAACAGAGCTTGGACAACAGTGCATTTTTTAAGGATTCTTCAGTGGTGGAGCATAACTGCCTAAGGGCCTTTTTTTCTTGCCATCCCCCCCTGGATAGTATGCGATCGCCGAAGGTGTAAGCCAAGTACAGTACCACCGGCGCGAGTTAGCTGGGGGGGGGGCATTTTTAAAACATGGGTTTCTGAAATAGCATTTCCTGTATTCTGAGAACACATTTTAAAAAAATTTCAGCTTCTCAAAACAAAGTTTTAATGGTGAAATTTGTAATAAATTGCATGCTATAAACATTCAAACACAACATATTTAGTTCAAGTGTGCTCACCAAAAAATTTTGTTTTTTAAACTTCCTTTCAATGATAAACTCATTTACTCAATACAGGTCCTAGGGCCCTAGCTTTGGGGCAATAGGCCATTTCTTTTCTTCAGTGGTGGGGCAGAGGAAGGGGCCCAGTGGGGCAAATGCCCCAGCAGTTCATGGAATTAAAAAATGCCTTGTTGGACAACGTCTAAAGCCCCTGCTAGACTTTTAATTATTAATTTCTTTTGTGCTATATGATTAATGCCATTGTACTGTTGTCAATTGATAGCCGTCCTCTTTGAATTATCGACTTCCGATCCTTGTGTAAGCTCCTTGATAATTAATAAAACGCAGACTGTCCTTCACTTAATCCATTGTTTATTAAGAAAACTTATTTAGCACTACAGAAATATTATATCCATTAGTTTCCAGAACTTTGCGTTCTATTCAAACTGGCCGTGGCCATTTCGGGTGTTGCGCGTGGACAACACGCGAGCATGCTCCGAAATGCCCCGCGAAATTTCTCGCTCAGTAGATTATACACAATCGGATTTACTGCTGCGTTTAATACTAAAAGCAACTTCAGAACCGATCCAATCTTCGTTGGCTTATTCTCGTAGCTATCACTAAATACTTGCGTGATAAAGTATACATGGAATGGGAAAAAACATACAAAAAATGCGATCAAAACGACGATCACCATTTTTGTTGTCCTGCGGCGATTTCGTTCGGATACACGCGATACGGTCTCGTTTCCACCAGCGCCTTCGGGTTGTTCGGTCAGCCGTCTATCAGGGTGCCATAATTTCCAAGCTATTCGAGTATACATAGTTACCAGTGATACGAACGGTAGTACGTGCAATCCAAGAAATACGATCACATAGTATATTCTAAATTTGTGTACGTCGAAGTCTATGTCAATGAACGTAATATCTTGTAGTGTAACTTGACCATTTTCTTTTACATAATGTTGAGTTACTCTCGTTGTGATGGCGATGAAAAATGGTAGTGCAAAAACTATAGAGCAAATCCAGATCACGGCCAGTGGCCAAATTGTCGGCCTACTCTTGGTTCGTGCCCTGGCCTTCAGCGGGTGCACGATGGCGAAATACCTATATGAAAATAAATTTTCGAACGAACCAATTTCAAACAAAATGAATAATATCACTAGTTACGTATGTGTCATTCGAGAATCGAGATTGTAAAGTGTTGTTCAATGTGGGACTTCGGTGGCCAAGTGGCTAGCGCACTTGCCTTTCACCTCTGAGGCCGCAGGTAAGCCTCAGTGAGTACTTTCTCATTGCGACTCGAACCCAGTCCTCATGTGAAAAGAGTAAAAGTCAACGCTCTGCCGAAAGTCGTGGATTCTCCCCTGGTACATCGCCAATGAACTCATAAGATGGGTCGTTTTTTAAACACGTTGAAACATTCGCATCCGATCTTTATCTGATATACAAACTCTCGCCTTCGGCTCGAGTTTGTATATCAGATAAAGATCGGCTGCTCATGTTTTAACTAGTACTCGTGGTGATAGTTTCATATAAACATGGCAATATTTGTATAGCGGAACTGAATCGTATGGCTGGCTACGCCACTGAAAGTGACTCCTACCTTTCAAACGCAATTGCTATCAATGTGAAGACAACCGCGGCCCCAGAAACGATCATAGTTCCTTGACTTATTTTAGCCATGGGAAAACCAAGTAACCAGCGTTGGTTACAGATCTCGAGCTGGAGAAAACTGGGCACCGAGAGAATGATATAGAGGATATCAGACAATGATAGGTTCACTAGTAGGGCATTGATTGTTGTTCGCATTGAGTTGTTCATATATACCACCAGAAGTACCATCATGTTCCCTATTAAGGAACCAAACAGTGATAAGTTTGTTTTGCCTTGTGGAAAACATTGCGTCTATATATTTATTATTACAATTAAAGTTTGCAACATATTTATAAGGAGATAGTAGATGGGTTTCTGCATGTGGTTGGAATCGAACGTAAATTTCTATACATTTTTGCTGCTATGTTAATTTCACACGGGGCTGGACCAGAGATGCCGGAAGTTGCTGAGGGCAAGGGATGCGATTTGCTATCAAAAGGGGCATATTTTTTAAAAAAGGGCAGAAACAAAAATGAAAGGGCACTTGCCTACTTATAACTTTATTTAAAATCAAACACGAGCAATGAAGCAACCTTTTATTAATTTCAAACATTTCGCTTTCTCTTCTACTGAAAAAAGTTTTGTGTGGCCATTTACTAGCTATAGGTTATGAAACTAAATCGTTCATTGTTTATAACATATATAAACTTAATAAACTCCTCCAACGTAGCCTATTCGTTAGAAATCTTTTGTGCACCCGTTGTACCCATGGGTACTCTGCACCCGCACTGCACCCAAAAAGTTATGAATACAAAAGACATGGGGTGCACTTGCACCCGATGCACCCGTGGTTCCGGCATCCCTGGGCTGGACGAATTCGGAACCGTCCTGCATGTTCTAAATGTTCTCACAGAACCCGATTAATTACCAGACGAAAAGTGTTCCACCACGTTTGAGATATCTTTTTCAGGTAGTTTGGACACAATTATCAGTCATGACAGATCATTGTGGAAAACTGTACCTACACTGGATGGACCCTTACGTTTGAGATATCTTATTAAAAGTCTAACTGGTTTGGGGTATTTTGGGCGTTTGCTTCTGCGTCACTTTAGTGAATGCAGTTTGATGCTAAATTTATCTTGCCGCCATTGATATACACATGCATCATATCATATAGTTATTCACATGCCCCTTCTTATCCGGACGATCCCCGGACGCAGTGAAGTGATAACGGAACTCGCCCTTAGATATTTTAATCATTAATACAGTATTGACATCAATTTCCAATATATGTACCAGTGTTTATGCTCAAACGCATGTTGGCCGGCAAACAAAATGATATCTTAGATAAAAACCGTTTTACTTATTTAACCACCTTTCGTCTGAACTTTTTGAAAGCCAAATACCTAACCAATAATTATGTTTCTGCCGTTCTTTTTTTCTCTGACGTTTTGAGCGCCGAAGGCCTTCGGAAGGCGTTTTCCCTTTGACAAGAAGTGATTACCATTAATGATTCCCAAAACGTCGAAGACGAATTAGACATGGCAGCCGAATAGCCCCTTATCGTGGAAACTCACATTTAATTTGACAGTGTCAGTGGTTTCATGAGAAACTAGTGATGAAAATAAGTTCTAAATAGAACGAAAAGCTGATTATCGCGCTTCTATACAAAGGCACTTGATTTGCTAACGATCATAATCAGTAATTTGTCATATAACTATAAGTCATAAGGGCTGGCATTCCATAGTGCACTTCACATACTTTCGCTGAAACATTGTATATATTGAATGTTTGCCGGATTTAGGTTGCAGCCTACTATTTAAATTTTTTAGCACCTAGAGGTCTATTGAGTCATATATGTGATAGACATATGGGACAGGACAATCGATTGTTGAAAAACCTGGTTGCCTGCATGCGGTAAAATATATTAAAAGAATACTCACCAACCAAGGCCATTAAGCTAAGAATCCCGTAAGCAAACGAATACCCGATAATCTCAGCCGTACTTAAGTATAAGTCGAACAAGACAATTGTGCCATTAGCGCTTGTATTATTATTCATCTCGACGTTACGTTTTTTAAACTTCAATTTTAAGAATTTAACAAATAATGTTCTTTGATTCCCCGATTACCCAAGTTCTTCGTAGATTTATATGCGCTGTATGTTTTATCCAATCCACATGCCTATATTGGCTGCGATACGTTTGTTATTAGCAAATATAAATGACTTGAACCGTGTAAAAGTTGATGGATTCTTTGATAATCGATGCTTTCGATAACTTAAGGAAGACTTTTGGACTGTTCTTTTATCAGCCAGGTGAACGTCAACGATGGAATGGTTATAAAGACTAATTTTACTTCCACCCAAGAGTAAAGTTTATGTTGCGGTCGTCAAAACACATTAAAACAATAAAAGTACACATAATTATCTATATTGTGTATGCATGAACGACTTATGCAAACTATAAATCGGCAGAATTACTAAGCGAACAAACACTATTATAATTACAATGTCTCATACTTTGAGTAATATTACTAATATATACTGATGAGAGATAAAAGTCAATTTGCATTGTGGTTTCCAATCAACATCGATCCTTGAGATTTATCAAAAATCCTGATCAAACGAGAATGAGAGTTCATGACAGTTGGCAGGCACTCAACTTTGTTCCAGGGGGCGGGGGGAAAAAAGGAAGGGGGCTTAACTTTGGAGTTCACAACGTCACCTCCCCAAACACATATTGGTCGGCACGTCCCTGCTTTGGTTAGCTGTTTTTAACGCTTTCCCAACACCATCCATAGATATCTTATATATACAGGGTGTGTCAAAATAAACGCAATTCATCTTTTGTGCTTAATAACGTTCGAAATACTATTTTTAGTTAAACGCTTTTAGGCTTACTTCAAAGCCTGTTCTTTTCTCTTTCAAACAAACTATTATCCTTGTCTCCAATGCTAGTAATAATTGCACAGGAAAAGATTTAGTAAAACCTATCATTTTTAGTTGCTGTTTAATTATGCAAGTTTACTATGTTATTGTTTAGTCGGTTTAAATGTTAGAATTTTCTTCTTTAAACTTTAATGTTGTCGTCACTACATCTGGAAAACCACGTAAGAACAAATTAAAAGTATTTTAAAAGAGACCAGGTTGTTTGAAAATCCTAAACGAATGCTAAAAATCGTCAAAACATTCTGGTGTCTGAGCCAGAGTGTCATCGAATTGCGATGTAATGTAAACAGAAATTATAGCAAGTTGATGTCAGGCAGCTTAGATGTCCAAGCCAAAATTATATCGCATTTGAAGTTTCAAACTGAGTTAAAAATAGTGGAAGAAAAGCCATAATTATACTTATTGTTACAAACCATTTAATAAAATGCAACATTTGTTTGTTTTAATGAAAAAATCAGTTATTTTCATGAGAACGATTTGTTATTCCATCTCAATTTTTTTAATCTCCAATCGCAATAACGTAAAGTATTATTACCCGCGAACCAATGAGTCAAATTTAAGAAACAACCCACTGTTAGAAAGCTGAATGGCTACGCTTTAAAATGAATGTAAACTTTAATGTTTTCGTCTATTATTTGTTTAGCAATTTACATTTCAGTCGAGGATTGCGCTTTTTTTGATACACCCTGTAGACTAGATAGCGCATCTCTTTTAGTAAAATTGAAGCCAAAAATATTCCAGCGGTTACCCCCATTTGAATAGATGGCGGTCATGTTGAAGTTTCCCACTCGCTAATAAACGCTTAAAAAACAACAATGACTTTCATCATTTGAATAGTTTGAAAATGTATTTGGAATAGGTTTAACTTAATGTTTAAGTTCCCTGTTTAAAAAACAGAAAACATACGAGTCTTCTCATTTCATGAGAATATGCTGAGTCTGCAATCACGGCTTCAATTTTTGAATTGCAGAATAATTAGATGCACTGTCTAGTGTATATAAGATATCTATGACACCATCATGTATTTTCAGTTAAAACATAGTTTGCAACACTCATGCAACTTTTATTTAGTTAATCAAGAGGAAAACACGCTACAAATTCAAAAGTTGTTTAATTAAAGTGGCACTGTCATTAAATTTTTCATTATCTCAAAACAAAGAACTGTTCTTTTGAAAAAATTGGTTCCCATGGTTTGTTCTTGAGATCTTTCATTTTGTTTAAAACCATGTGACGTCATTTACTCAATTCCATATAAAATACATGTATGTCATACATAATGGAATGTCAGTAAATGTTGTGTATATATCTTTGCTATTTTTGACAGATTTTTTAAAAAAAAGTATGCTTAATGATGTAGGTTAAATTAACAAACGCGCCGCATCTTTGGCAAGATTTTGATAAAAAATAGCAAAGATACACAAAACTACCTTGGAATATCATAAATTCTACCCAATCTGTCTTTGGCAAATATTATTAAAATCTATTATTTTAAATAAAATATTTACCATAATAATGTTATAAATGTCTAGAACAGTGTTTCACTAACTTATTTTTCAAAAGCACACGAATTTTATACAGAATATTAAAACATGTTTAAAAGCAACCGATAGCTTCCAAGGTGCTAATAGATAAATGGATCCTAGACTAATAACCTAATCTGCTATCATTATTATGATAACAGTTTATGATCCCCTAACTGTGATTATGATCCTCTTACTAATTATTTTTCAAAAGCACACGAATTTTATACAGAATATTAAAACATGTTTAAAAGCAACCAGATAGCTTCCAAGGTGCTAATAGATAAATAGTAATAGAGACTTTTTAATTTTTTTTTCAATTCCCATGGGAATTGAATTTTTTATTAAAAAGTATACAGTATATTATATCCATTAGTTTCCAGAACTTTGCATTGTATCCAAACTGGCCGTGGTCATTTCGGGTGTCGCGCGTGGACAACACGTGAGCATGCTACGAAATGCGGCGCGAAATTTCTCGCTCAGTATATTGTACAGAATCGGATTAACTGCTGCGTTTAATACTAAAAGCAACTGCATAACCGATCCATTCGTCGTTGGCTTATTCTCGTAGCTATCACTAAATAGATACGTGATAAAGTATATATGGAATGGGAAAAAACATACAAAAAATGCGATCAAGACGGCGATCACCATTTTTGTTGTCCTGCGGCGATTTCGTTCGGACACACGCGATACGGTCTGGTTCCCACCAGCGCCTTCGGGTTGTTCGGTCAGCCGTCTATCAGGGTGCCATAATTTCCAAGCTATTCGAGTATACATAATTACCAG